CCCCACCCCACCCCACCACCACCACCTTCACCTCCAGATCCTGCTCCTCCTTTCCACTCTCGAGAGGCAACCCTAGCGGGTCGGCTCTCCTTCCCTCGCCCGCCTGGCAGCACCCCGCCGCGGCCGCAGGTGCTCATCCCCTTCGTAAAGATGTCGTACCACATCGAGAAGGGCCTCCCCGACCGGACCTCGACGCACCTCCTCCTCGGCCTGCCCCCCGTGAGTCTCGCCCTCGCCCTTGCTTAGGCCTCCCGCAGAACGACTCGACGCTGCTCATCAACATCTTTGACGCGCTCGGCGGGCTCGTCACGCTCAGCTACACCGTCGCCGTCTGCCTGCCGCCGGACGGCCGCAGCCGCAAAGGCAAGTAGCGATCGATAGCGACTCCCATGCATAGAGAGAGAGAGAGAGAGAGAGAGAGAGAGAGAGAGAGAGAGAGAGAGAGAGAGAGAGAGAGAGGGAGTGGAGTGCGAGGGCCGGGGAGAGAGAGAGAAGATAACGCGGCTGCATGCGTTGCTGCATGGTGGTGCCAGTCGCGAGGGGGTGCGCGAGACCGAGATACGCGAGAGCGGGGCGTCCCCTGCCCCCGCGTTTTTTCGTTTAATTTTTTTGAGACAGCCTCACAGAGGCAGAGCTAGTTCCATTTCACACACACAGTGCGGCACTTGTGAGGGGATACATAGACTTAGGCACGTATTTCATGAGCGTCGTGAATGAGGTGCAATGGAGAGTGGAGGAGTGGGCCGGTGTGCCAGCGGACGTCACGAGAGTGCTAAAGGCACTGCGGGAAGGGCTCGGCGACCTGCCAGGGCTAACAGGCAGATACGAGACGGGCTATGGGCTCAGCCCAAGGTTTGAAATCGAACAGGGACTAGGCCAGGGCTGTCTGCTCTCGCCTACACGGAGTAAGCTCATGCTCGCGGTGATGCAGCGAGCAGTGAGCAAATTGTGCCAGGGGTTCGAGTTCACTGCAGCAGGGGAGAGCGTGCCGCAGCTGGTATACGCAGACGACTGCTTGCTGTTGAGCAACGATATCGCCACGATGCAGCTCGCGCTCGAGTGCGCCTGGCTGGTCACCAAAATATGCGGAAACAGCCTACAGGTGAAAAAGAAGAAGAAGTCCGCATGGTCCGCGACCTACTGGAAGGAGGGGGCGGAAGTGGACGTGACGGGGTACGAGATGAAGATGCCAGACGGGACAAATATCCCTCAGCTAGTGGGAGACGAGACATACAAGTATCTAGGGACCGAGCTACGACCGGGATGGGCAAGCGGCGAGTGGCAAAAAGACATGAGGGAACGGGTCAAGAGAGATTGCAAGCGCGCGCTGTGGCTCGTTGGGAACCTCTCGCACCTGA